TGCAGCCTTGATGAGCAGAAGAGACTTCTTTAAAAAGCATTACAAATCTTACTGATCCCAAACTTTTGAGCGGTAGTGTGTGTATATAATTTTTTTTTTTTTTTGCAACATTATAAATGTCTTTTTAGTGTCACTTCTTTCAAACAAATAATAACCTTACTGACTCCAAGATTTTGTTAATACCGGCGTCCACCCTACATGGATGTCATTACTGTTTTAGTCTTATTGTGTGTTTTTCATGTGTGTGTCTCCAGGACTTTTAAACAGGATGTGACTGGTAACCCCAGGGCAATGTTAAAGCTCATGAATAGTGCTGATGTGGCCAAGCACACTCTCTCCACCCTGGGCAGTGCAAACTGCTTTGTGGACTCGCTCTACGATGGCATGGATTTTGAGTGCCATGTCTCAAGGTGAGATAATGTTCAAAATTTGTATTATAACGAAAATCGTACCTGTTGCTTATCAGTATGCTATATATGCTTCTGTCCTAGAGCCCGTTTCGAGCTAATATGCTCCAGCCTCTTTAATAAGAGCATTCAGCCAATTAAAGGTCTTCTTGAGCAAGTAAACCTGTCCACTTCTGATATCAACAAGGTAAAACAACTTTTTAATACAAATGTGTGACCATTAGAGGGAGCTGTAGATGTGCATCTCAAATTTCATGCAAAAAAAATAATAATTTTGTGATTAGTACTGAACCTTTTAATTACATAATGCATAGTTCACTAGCTAAATAGTGGATTATTTCAGTGTTTTACATCTAATCATAGCGAGAATGGAATCCCAAAACCTTAAATAGAGATTAAAATAGGCTTTTCTTGTCTAAGGTGGTTTTATGTGGAGGATCAGCTCGTATCCCGAAGTTGCAACAGATGATCAGGGATTTGTTCCCAGACGTGGAGCTGCTGAACTCCATCCCACCGGATGAGGTGATTCCGGTCGGCGCTGCCATGCAGGCGGGCATCCTGGTCGGAAAAGACAGCCTGGCACTTGGAGAAGATTCCATCACTGTGGACTGCTGTGCCAGCGACATCACTGCTAAGGTGGGGAGCTTCAAACAATCAATAGTGTTTAGTTTTAGCATTTTAGCACATGATTGATCAGTAGACTGTGTCTTGGCCTTTCAGGAAGTGGATGACTCCGGAGCGGAGGTTTTCACAGTTTTGTTTCCTTCTGGCACACCTCTCCCTGCCCGCCGCCAGCACACACTGCAGGGTCCTGGCAGTCTGTCGTCAGTGAGTCTGGATCTGTACCAGGCACAGCGACCAATCGCACAGGTTGGCACCCCTTTTTAGCGGACATTTCAGTGCAAACCTATAATTAAATGAGATATTTGGCATGTATTGGGCTTAAAAACAATTCGGCTGATTTTTTTTACCTAAAGGTTATTAACTTAAAATGTGACACTCTTATTTTTCTAGATTGTACTTAGAGACTTGGAACCTAAAGAGGAGCTGCATGACATTGTCACAGTGCTGACCATGAAGAGGTAATGAAATAAATGAACTTTTTTATTCAGAATGGATGCATTAAATTGATCAAAAGTAACAGTAAAACAATTCATAATGTTACAAAAGATTCCTATTTCCAATAAATGCTGTTTTGAACTTTCTATTAATTAAATAATCCTGAAAAAAAAA